CAATCTTCTGAAGCTGTATGACTACAATTAGAAGTTGATTATGGAGTCAGAACAGGGAAGGAATAGAACATTCAAGGTGAATGTCAGAACTGCAGACTCAGAATGTCTTAGTGCAACATGTGCTGAGAAGGAGAGTGAGTTGTGGCACAGAAGATTTGGTCATTTGAATTTCAGAAGCTTAAAACATCTGAATTCAAAGAAGCTGGTACATGGAATTCCTGCAATTAAGAAGCATGAGAAGTCATGCAAAGTTTGCATGGAAGGAAAACAACCACGTTTGCCATTTGCGTCAGAAGTTGCTCCAAGAGCAAAACATGCCTTGGGAGTTGTACATTCTGATGTGTGTGGTCAATTTCCAGTAGCATCAATTGGAGGGAATAAATACTTTGTGCTATTTGTTGATGAATTCACAAGAATGACATGGGTATCCCTTATTAAGTTCAAACACGAGGTGTTTGATGAATTCAAGAAATTCAGAATGAAGGCTGAGAATCAGAGTGGTCAGAAGTTGAAGATTCTTAGAACTGACGGTGGAGGTGAGTATAACTCCAAAGAGTTCCAGAAGTTTTGTGAGGAGAATGGAACTGAGCATGAGGTTACTTCTCCTTATACCCCTCAACACAATGGTCTTGCTGAAAGAAGAAACCGTACTTTGCTTGATATGGTGAGAAGCATGCTAAAGGAGAAGAAGCTTCCTCAGAAGCTCTGGGGAGAAGCTATTGCCACTGCAACGTATGTACTCAACAGATGTCCTACGAAGAAGTTGAAGGAAATAGTTCCTATGCAGAAGTGGACTGGAGACAAGCAAAGTGTTAGTCATCTGAAGGTGTTTGGTTCTGTTTGCTATAAACATGTTCCAGAAGCTAGAAGACAGAAGCTAGATGATAGAAGCAAAGTGATGATTCTGATAGGGTACCACAGTACAGGTGCATACAAGCTCTATTGTCCAGAAACCAATAAAATTGAATTCAGCAGAGATGTGATTGTGAAGGAATCAGAAGTTTGGAATTGGGATAAGTCTCAATCTGATTCTGATGTTAGAACTTCTGAAGAAAGGTCAGAGTTAAGAATTTCTGAAGTTGAAGTAAACTCTGACGTTGATTCTGACTCTGATAGTGATTCTGACTCTGGAGAAGACTCAAAAGATGAAGGTGACTCTGATGATCCAGACTCTGATGGTAATCCAGATTCTGGTGGAAATTCAGACTCTGAAGATGGCCAAGACTCTGAAAATATGCCAGATCTTGAAGATGGTCAAAACTCTAGAGGAAGTCAACCATCTGAAGCTGGAAACTCTGAAGCTCAAGACTCTGAACAAGTTCAGAGACCACAAAGAATCAGAAGCGTTCCCAGAAGATTTGCAGAATTTGACATGCTGCAAGACACTGAAGTAGACTCTGAAGGAGAAGTTATTCAGTGTGTCATGTTAGTAGACTCTGAACCTATAAGTACAGAGGAGGCTCTTAAGCAAAAGCTCTGGCTAAAGGCCATGAAAGAAGAACTTGATGCTATAGAGAGAAACAAGACTTGGAAGCTGACAGAACTTCCAAAAGACAAGAAAGCCATCAGCGTCAGATGGGTTTTCAAGCAGAAGTTAAAGCCAGATGGCTCAATTGGCAAACATAAAGCAAGGTTGGTAGCCAGAGGATTTCTACAAAAACCTGGGCTGGATTACTCTGAAGTGTTTGCACCTGTAGCAAGACATGAAACAATCAGAATGGTGATTGCAATAGCTGCTAACAAGAATTGGCCTCTGATGCATTTAGATGTAAAATCTGCATTTCTGAACGGTCCATTAGAAGAAGAAGTTTACGTGTCACAACCACCTGGATTTGTGAAAAAGAATCAGGAAGGGATGGTGTACAGATTATACAAAGCTCTATATGGATTGAAACAAGCGCCCAGAGCTTGGAATCAGAAGATTGATTCATTTTTCAAGAAGCAAGGCTTTCAGAAATGTGAGATGGAGTACGGTGTCTATGTTCAGCATACTTCTGAAGGCAATATGACTCTGGTATGTTTATATGTTGATGATATACTGCTGACTGGAAGTTCTGAACAGGAGATAACCAAGTTCAAGAAGGTTCTAATGAATGAATTTGAAATGACTGATCTAGGCAAAATGACATACTTTCTAGGGATGGAGTTCAGATATTCTGAGAAAGGTATCATTTTGCATCAGCTCAAGTATGAATTAGAACTTTTGAAGAGACTTGATCTGAAGAATTGTAAGATGGCTGTCACACCTTCTGATACAAATCAGAAACTGGATTCAGACTCTGAAGGAAAGGATGTGAACGCTACAACCTTCATACAGTTGGTTGGTTCTCTGAGGTATCTGTGCAATACCAGACCTGATATTTGCTACTCAGTTGGGATGGTTAGTAGGTTCATGAGTAAACCTAAGTGGTCCCATTACCAAGCTGCTGTCAGGATTCTGAGGTATATCAAAGGAATTCTGAAGTATGGAGTGTTATTTCCCTCTGGAGGAAATAATGAGTCAGAACTTCTGAGTTATTCAGACTCTGATTGGTGTGGAGACAGAGTTGACAGAAGAAGTACATCTGGGTACTTGTTCAAATTTCTGGGAGGTTCCATTTCTTGGTGTTCCAAGAAGCAACCTGTTGTGGCGTTGTCAACCTGTGAAGCTGAATACATTGCAGGTGCTGTTACTGCATGCCAAGCTGTGTGGATTCTGAATCTGTTGCAGGATCTGAAGATTAAATTAGACAAACCTCTGAAGTTGATGATTGACAACAAGTCTGCAATCAATCTTGCTAGAAACCCAGTGTTGCATGGGAGAAGCAAGCATATTGAGACCAAGTATCATTTTCTGAGACATCAAGTTCAGAATGGAGTGTTAGAAGTTGTACACTGCAGCACTCAGAAGCAGTTGACAGATGTTCTGACGAAAGCTATCAAGACTGATCAATTTCTCAGACTAAGGGATGGAATTGGTGGAATATGAATTAAGGGATGGTATTAGAATATTAATAGTAATTCATATTTATTTAGTTATACTATTTTCTTAGCCCCTAAGTTTGTTAGAGGGTATTTTAGTATTTTATCTTATTCTAGTAACCCTAGTTTTAGCTTATAAATAGGGTGACAATCATTGTAACTATTATCATGTTTTGTAGCCGTCATTCTTAATAGAATATTTCCTTTGTTCGTCATTTATTCACCTTTGCACCAACAGTATACACCGTTCAGCAAGTCAGTCCCTCTTTGCACCTCGAGGTTAACTTGTAACAGTTGAAGACCGGGGATGGTTTATTGTCCAAGTATCACAAGTATTTGAAGAGGTCGATGAGAAGGTTCTACTTGATGAAAATTCTATGTGGATCTGAAGAATGAAAGAGTTTAAAAGACTCGTTGACCAACCCATAGTGGAACAAGATCTTGGTGTTAAGAATTGGAAAAAGATGCTACCAAGACTGGACCGTTATCTATTTGAGGAAGACGAGGTGAACCTTTAGCAACTTCAGCAACTGTGTCGATGGCTTGTCGTTGAACCACACATCGAGAGGCTTTTGAGGCCACCATGATTAATGAATCTAAAGAAAGATATATTGGAAAAAAAGTTGAAATTTGAGGAAGAAGATTGAGAAACAGAGATCTGAACTTCAAAGAGAGAAGATATGAATCTCTAAACCAGAAGAGATCTGAAGGTGGAAATACGCAAGAATCAAATGTTGTTTCACACAGACAACGTCACTATTTCATGGTGGAATTAGAATTGTTCTGTGAACGATGAAGGTGTGTTTGTTACAGTAGACTTAAGCTTCTGGTGCGGTAGAGATGGGCTAACCTGCAAGTTAACACTCCAACATTCAAGTCAATAAGAGAATGAGAAATGATGTGGGAGTAAGAATTGATTTGAATACTTAAAAATGATATGTTTTTCCTCTTAAATAGTGAGATATGTTAAAACAGGAAGCGCAAAGTGAGGCGTTAATCCTTATCAACCGTCTGATTGATTTGAATGGTTAACAATATTTCTAAAAGTAAAATTACTTTTTTAAGAAGAATAGAGACCTACATGTTCTTTCGCGTTTGCTATCTTTATTTTACCATTGTACATTTCGTCTTTGGAATTTATGAGCCGCACAAAACAAAAACTATTTTTAGTTATAGTTTTAGTTCGACAAGTCAATAGTAACAGTCATTTGTGTTATTTACTATATGAAATATTGAAACAATAACACCAATTTGTAAAATCATTGAATTGTTGATGGATGTTGTAGCTTTTAATTTCAGACATTCTTTCATTGTCACAAACATTATGGTTTGCACTACATAACCTACTCATTATTTTGCTTAATTATTTGCTGAAAAGGCTCTACTCACACTAAAGTTGAGGTTATATACCCATCCATCTAAAGGTTTCTATGTTTATTTTTTCATAATCTACTAATGCTATATTACTATTAGGAACATATATGGACCATTCATTACTGAATCAATCATATCAAAATTTATATAATTACATTAGTGAAGATTCACATCACTTGCTGAGACGACATAGGAGAAGCTTCACGTAGCTAAGCAATTTGCGTCTAAATGTTGTCCATACACACATCACTCCTTGCATAACTTAAGAAAGTGATGTTTACATATAGAGACAAATAGAGTATTTTTAAGTGACATAATTGACCGGAAACAGTATTTTGGACACCACAAAAACGGGTGTTTTTAGATGTGTACGTTTAAAAAGTGATAATCTTCTTACAACAAATAATATTTTTAATATTTATTATAGGACAGACAGACAAATGGTGAATAAAATATATAGAAAAACCACTCACACATTAACATAAATAAGAATTTAGGTTTTGCTCACTCTTGCATTGATGTTGTTATTATAAAAGAGTAGAAGACATATAGGTGGTGCTGTTACACCAAATTGCACCAAGAGTGATGTGTGTGTAGTACCACATTTAGAAACATTATAGATTCAGCAATGAATGGTCCATAATAATATACTTAAAAACCAAAAACTAAATATTTTTAACAGTGCTATTCTGAGATTTTTCCACATCTTTGCTTTCAATTTCCTCCTCTTCGTTCTCACCTGACATCTCTTCCAATGATTTTCCATTTGCCTCGGGCACTAAGAAAGTAAATAAGAATCCTAAAATATTAACCACACCCAATACTATCAGTGAATTCTTCACTCCAATACCGGCAGGATATCCTGCATCTGCTTTACTCTTGTCCTTATTTTGTGCCAAGTATAAGAACCCGAATGCACCTACTATAGCACCGAGCTTTCCTGATGCGGATGATATTCCATGACAAGTAGAACGAAATCTAGCGGGAAAAATCTCTGCCGGTATAACAAATGTGGTAGCATTAGGTCCAAAATTTGCAAAGAAGAAGGTCAAGGAATATAATACCACAAATCCTATTCGGTTATCCTTATGAGTCCAATGATCATAAGGGATGGCAAGCGCAAACATGAAGACGGTCATAAAGAAAAATCCCATCAATTGAATTGCAAATCTTCCGATCCTGTCGATGAGAGCCACGGTAAACCAGTAGCCTGGAACTGTACTGCAAAGAGCAATAAGTGTTTGAGCTCTTGCAATTTTGTAAACCTCCTCAAGTGCATTCATGGTTTGTGCAGGAGGTATCCAACCAATTGCACTGAAGATATCCTTCTGGAATAGATTTTGGCTATAAAATGCTATATCGAGCAGGAACCAAGTGGATGCTGTACCAAGAAGATGTAGTCCATGGCGACTTAAAAATTCTTTTGAGAATAAGCCATATGGTTTAACCTTTGAATGGTCCTGTTTCTTTGGTTCAGCTTGAATCTCAACTTGTAGAACCTTAGACATATCTGATGCTGCTTGTGCCATGTCCTTAGCTACTAAAGCGGTGTAACGAGCAGTTTCTGGCATCTTCATCCGCCAATAGTAAGTCAATGCGGCTGGGAGTGCTCCCACCATCACTATTATCCTCCAAACGTAGTCTGCTTCTGGAACGGTAGAACCAAGTGGATCAACCGCGTAAGATGGAGAATCAAATTTAGCCTTGAATATAGCAGCCATTATGATTGCAAATATACCACCCGCCAAAATTCCAAACCCCTGCATTGCAAAGACGGCAGCAATGAAGGCACCACGAGTCTTCTTATTAGAATATTCTGACATTATGGTAGCTGAAAGTGGGTAGTCCCCACCGATACCGAATCCAAGCCAAAAGCGAAAAAAGCAAAGAGTTGCCATGACAGATTCTGGAGTGTGTCCAAGAGAAAGGCCAGAACCAATAGAACATATAAACATGATCATGAGTGTCATGCCATAGACTTTTTTCCTACCCAACTTATCTCCAAGCCAACCAAAGAAAAGTTGTCCTGAAAGTGTTCCAATGAAGGCAACCCCATTTACAGCCGCAGAAACATTAGGAGGCAATGTTCCCGGCTTCGCTGCACCATCAACATGATAGTATATACGGCCGAGTAACTTGGTAACAAGAGATATGCAGAACAAATCATATGCATCTGTGAAAAAGCCCATACCAGCTATGATTATTGCAGTGAAATGGTACCATTGTGTTTTTGCCACATCAAGTGCATTTAGCACGTGAATTTGATCCTTTGCCATGATTTTTCAAGCTAAATTCACTAGACTCTTTATGTTTCTCTTTTATTTCATTCCCTACAAAAGTCGAACCAAAAATCAAATTTAATTATAGGAAAAATCTTTGTTTTGAAGGGATATAGACTCAAATATATATATATATATATATATATATATATATATATATATATATATATATATATATATATATATATATATATATATATATATATATATATATTCAAATTACAGATGTTATAAAATGAAATCAATCAATAATATCATTAAACCATCAGTTGTACCAACTCATTGGAAATCGAAATTCAACAAAAAGATATTAAAATTCAAAGCCTCTTAAACAAGTGTTGTAACAAAAATCTATAAGTTCAAAGTGCAAAATTTATATGAATAAATCGGCAATTTTTGACGCCCAGAGATTCAATTAATCCTCTCAAAATAAAACTACTACATAAAATCATGAGAAAACAACAGCATGCATGGAAATAATTATTTAGGGTTTAGCATAAAACATATTGATATATTAATTCCAGCGACAACTATTACAAATTTATTACATTATTTTTAAAAATTGTTGTGTGATAGTGACATGATACATGCATAGAATGCGACATGAGATATAGATGATAATGCTATTGCTACTACAAGTAAAAAAAAATAATGATAGAAAGAGACAAATAAAAAGAACTAACCATGAAGTAAAAGGAGATATTACTATGATGCTGTCAGAAGAAACTGTAAAGAATGAAATGTGTGGGATAGAGAAGAAGAGAATGAGAAGATTTTATAGGGTATAGAAATTCTGGTTTGAAACAAAATAAACAAGTTCTAGTTTATAACAAAATATTCTATGGCATATACCCTTCTTATGCTAGTTAACGGTTCATTGTACCTTTCCACACCAACATGATATATGTGATAATTACTAATAATTATTTGGGTTAGATATATTTCTATACTTTTCTTTATAGGGTACCTATTCCATTTTTAAAAATTATTCATTATCAATTTTTTCTATTAATACTATTAGTATAAAGATTCAATTAAACTTTGACCACGTTACCTTTTTATGGATGCATACTTTATAGGTAGAGATTTTATTATATTCTTTTTACTTGCTCATTATATGTGAATTTCTTTTAATGTATTTTCTGTAAATTTCAGTTTTTAATAATTTACACATTTAAAAGAATTAATATTTTTATTTTTAGAAATTTATTCAAATATTAAAAAAAAAATGTAATTACCGCTATATATGTAAAATATTTTTTCTTTTCGAAAATTGGAATAGAATATCCACCACTAATTAACAAAACCTAATTTTCTCTGGTTTAGAAATTTGTTCTAATATTTAATAAATGTAGCTTTTTTAAATGTTATATATATATATATATATATATATATATATATATATATATATATATATATATATATATATATATATATATATATATATATATATATATATATATATATATATATATATATATATATATATATATATATATATATATATATATATATATATATATATATATATATATATATATTAGTTGGGGTACAGGAGACTCATGACTAAATCGATATCATAACAAAAAAAGTCACAAAAGAATAAAAGAATCCATAACAAATAAAGGTTCTAATTTATCGGTCTACAACAAGTAAACTTGACATCAAACCAATCTGAAAAGAAAATAAAAAGCTAAATCTCTCCTCATAGAAACGGTTAGAAAAATTAATTAAATCGAATGAATTGAGGTTAGAATCGTGAATGAAATTATTTTTCTTAAAAGTATTTCAAGCACTCTCAAATGTCTTAGAGTTGAAATGCAAGAATACTTAGGATAATTTAGTCTATACTCGAGTTTGCACAAGTCTGGTGAAAACTCGAATGTAGGAAAGTGTATCTGAAATTTTAGTGAAGATGGTGTATATTTTTTCTAAATCCGAAATGAAGTATTTATAGGTCATATTGGTGTTGTTTCACAAAGTTTCGACTCTTGGTGAAACAACTTCCTTTTATCAAGAGTTACAAGCATTTGTCAAAAGTTACTTTAACTAAAAATTACTTTAACCAAAAGTTACCTTAACCAACATTCAAAGCTCCGTAGTTTGGAGTAAAAAAAAATTTTTGGTTGGTTTTATACCTTGAAAAGGGTTTGAGGAAGTGGTGCCACGAGGCACAAAAATAAGTTTGATGAGTTGAGATATTTTTTAGGGTTTTGGGAAAGATTTATCTTAAGTTGAATTGCACTAAAGACTATGGATAAAGGCGATTATTTCGATCTACCAAGCCAAGGGTCTTGTGTCCAAAATAATCAGAGTGAGTGTAGAAAAGCTTCGTTCTCACCCTTTCTCCACCATTTAAGGCTCGTGGCGCACAATTATCCTCGTATTTTATTGTGTTTTAAATTCATTTAAGAAAAGTCCATTTGATATTGGATCAAGGGTTGGTTTTGTTGATTAAGAAAATGTCTTGGTAAGTAGGAAGGTCGATGGCGATGCAAAAGCAACCGACTTACAAATTGGATGTGAATGCAAAATGGAATGGAATTGATTAAGAGTTGATGGTTATGGATGTGCCATTGAATTTACTATTATGAAAAAATGCTTCATGTTTGATCAAGCTTATTTGTGTTATTTTGAAAAGAGGTGATTGATTTTATTCTTTTATTGGAGGCTACCTAAGCAAAGGCAAACAAAGAGAAAACAGTAAAAATTATTACACATCATGGAAATTGGGGTACGTTTTCTCAAATGAGGATAGTACCAAGCCATTGAAAATTAAATCCATCACACAAATGCATACAAATGAAAGTGTAAGGTGCAAAGCAGGTCTCGTTATAAGAAAGCCCAAAAGTAAGCTATGTGAGGTTGATGGGATTGTAGAAATGATCGACTTACAAGGATTTTTTGAAAAGAATTTGATATTAAATCAATAATAAGTTTGAAAGTGGTTTAAACATGCAACTGAGATATGTAATCAAAATACATCATGACATAGGTAAAATATATGAGCAAAAGAATAAGTAACATATGATCAAACATCACACAATTAAAACTAATCAAGCAATGGAAAAAACAATTAATCAACTTAAATATAAATATTTAATAAAATTAATTAATAGTTTAAATAATTAGTGTTAAATAAAAATATTTAAAAATATTAATGATTATATATTTTTGTATTTTTTAACATTAGAGAAAAACAACAAACAAAATTAATTAAGTTAAATATAAATATTTAATATAATTAATTAATTAATTAACTAATTGTTAAATAAAGATATTTAAAATAATTAAATAATTTTTTTTTGAATTTTTTTAATATAATAAATAAGATACAAAATATAAATCAATATAAAATATAAAAAGAGAAAAGACTAAATAATAAAAGAAAATAATAAAAACAAAGAAATAAAAAAAAGACAATTAAAAATGGGTCTGCACCAGAAGGAAAATAGGGTGTTGTAAGAGTAGTGAAGACAGACCCAACATGAAAGAGGCACATGCGTTGCCAGGGGTCCACTAGACCCGATCAACTCGTGTTAACCTCAGGGCGCAATTTGGTGTGTTGATCTAATGAAAAGTCAAAGTTTGACTCAAATCCAATGATTGGGGGCAGAACGTGCACGCTAAAGGACTAAGGGATGCACGCATGGAATGCTTAAGCGATATACCACTCCGGTGACAAGTGTCCAGTGGTGGGACACTTGTCACCCACTCCTCCAGCCATCTCAAACAAACACATGCAACGGTAATTATCATACCCTAAATTTTGACCACGAGACTTCACATCACTGTGCCAATCGTCACCACCATATGGATATATTTTCATACCACACCAATCTTCTCAAAGATTATTGAGTATTCACCTTAACCAAGGATTAGGGTTTTGAGCCCTCTCAGAGCATTCAGGCAAGGGATTAATCAAGAATTTACATGATCTTCACCTTTTTAAGCCTCTCAAACATCCATGAAGGGTCAATATATCCTTAACATCAAGAATCAAGCACATGATTGCATCATTTCAAGTTGACCAATCTGAAAAGAAAAAAAAAGCTAAATCTCTCCTCATAGAAACAGTTAGAAAAATTAATTAAATCGAATGAATCGATGTTAGAATCGTGAATGAAATTATTTTTCTTAAAAGTATTTCAAGCCCTCCCAAATGTCTTAGAGTTGAAACACAAGAATACTTAGGGTAATTTAGTCTATACTCGAGTTTGCACAAGTCCGATGAAAACTCGAATGTAGGAAAGTGTGTCTGAAATTTTAGTGAAGATGGTGTATATTTTTTCTAAATCCGAAATGAAGTATTTATAGGTCATATTGGTGTTGTTTCACAAGGTTTCGACTCTTGGTGAAACAACTTCCTTTTCTCAAGAGTTACAAACATTTGTCAAAGTTACTTTAACCAAAAATTACATTGTTTCGCCTACAACAACATTCTTCAAGAGTTGCATACTTTCATTCTGCAACACTTCATGAAATGTTGCCTATTTCCGAATTCAAACATACTGCAACACTTCATAAATGTTTCTTATTTTAGAATTCAAAATTAATCTTCACTTGCATATTTTCTTATAATTTTGTAACACATTCAAGATTATTAATTCTTAATAGTTTACAACAATCTCCCACTTGTTCTAATAATGACAAGACCAATTCCAAAAAAGAAGACAAAAATAATGTTAAATATAATTAATATCTTTCGATTTAAACTTAACCTTATTAAGGATAACACAAAGTTTAATCAGAATGTTAGGTAGATATGCTTTGAACCATTATCCCTTGTGATTATACTGGCGTTACCTTACACGCATTCTTTAGTGGTTCTTCGCCTATATCTCTTGCTTAATATTATTTATAGGCATGTACTTTTCCTGTTTTCGTGAATTTCATGAGAGAAACTCCAACTGTCACTTTGAGACGACACCATCTCGAAATTCACATAGGTGAAGTTCATATTGTATCATTTTCCATGAGAGACATACCCTCGGTAT